CCATGCAGCTTAAATATGGTAAATTAAGTATAGTCTTATGTTTCAGATCTATGGTTCGAAATTTAGGGATTAATACTTAAAAAAAATTATTTTTTTAAATGTATAATATTGATATTGGAGTTGTGTCTTTAAAATTACTTAGAAATGAATAACTAAAAAGCGGTTTTTCAGCCTATGCTATTTAGCTTAAATATGATATATATAAGATTATATTTAGTGAAACTTATAAGTGTTTCGGTTTTGACACTACTTTAAATTTTTCTCTTAAAAATTTATATTTTTTAATTTTTTTAATCTTAAAAATACTTTAAATAGTAAATTTTGAAAAGTTTCAAACTTTTACTTTTTATAAACTTTATTTTTACTCACTTCTTATTCATTTTATTTTTATTTTTAAAAATAACTTTTAAATTTTTTCTTTAATAAAAATTTAAATTTATTACTTATAAACAGTAAAAAAAATAAAAATTCTAAAAAGAAAAAAATTTATATTTTTTAATTTTTTTTAATTGTAAAAATACTTTAAACAGTAAATTTTGAAAAGTTTCAAACTTTTACTTTTTATAAATTTTCTTTTTACTCACTTCTTATTCATTTTTTTCTATTTCTAAAAACAACTTTTAAATTTTTTCTTCAATAAAAATAAAAATTTAAATTTATTATTTATAAACAGTAAAAAAAAATAAAAGTTCCAAAAAACTCCACCAAACAAGCCCTAAGTGTAATCTTATAATTCAAATTTAAAGTTTAAATTTAAAGATTAATAATTCAGAAACTTTTTTTAAAAAATATTTTAAATGCACTATGTTAATACCATAGATGCGCTATTAAAATTACTTAGAATGGAGGAAGCCTTTAAAGTATGTGAAAATTGATTTAAGACAAATTGCCTGAATAAATAAATAAAGAGGCTGGGCATTCTTCTTTTTGATACATTGGCATTCTGGAAAAAAAAAAAAGAAAAAAAAAAAAGAAGTGTCATCGGGACTGGCTTTGGTACATTAGCTATCCTTTGCCATGCTATACAAATACTTTTTAGACTAACTAGGAGGAACATAAGTTTCTAAAACTATCATGGTACAACTGAAAAGATAAAGAAGTGCTGGTATTTCTTTTGTTGGTAAAAAAAAAAAGGTATATAGATAACAATAATATTATAGTTACAATAGTATATAAAATTATGAATTTATAATTATAATGTAATATTAAATAAATATATGTGATATAATAAATAAAATTTTTTTTAAAATAATTATATAATAATATGTTATATTATATATTTATAATATTATATAATATTATAAGTATAATATTTTTGTATAGTGAATTTTTTTGTACCCATTCCTAGTTTCAAAAAAAAAAAAAAAAATCCAGCGAACAGCTCTATTGGGTTGCAAACGTTAATTGGACTTTATTCTGAGACGTGAGCCCATGCCGCAGCTTAAATACGAAGCCCGAACCCGAAATGCCCAAAAACCCTCGGTACGCGCGGTTTGCTTACAGAGAACCGCATTGAACTAAGAAATGGCGAAGAAGAAGAAGAGAGCTGAAGCAGAATCCGAAGCCGAAACAAAGAACTCAGAACAACACGTAACAAAGGTCCAAAAGCTTGATTTCGTCAATGGCGATTCTCAAAACTTAAAGAAGAAGAAGAAGAAGAAGAGTAAGCGAACGAAAGAGAACGGCGGTGAAGCCGACGGAATACCTACTGTTAGCATAGCCGTCGCCGGCTCCATCATCGGCAACGCCCAATCGCTCGAGCTCGCTACTCGAGTACACACTCTATCTCCGTTATTTATATTCATATCTAGTCCTATTTTTCGTTTCTAGAATGATTATTTGATGCTTTTACTTTTCTCAGTTGGCAGGTCAGATTGCTCGAGCTGCAACGATTTTTCGAATCGACGAGGTTCTTATTTAAGTAATTAAGTTTTTAATTCTGCATTTTGTATGGTTATGAAATTAGTATTTATGCAGTATGATTGAGTGCTGTTGCTAGATTTTGCTAGAAGTCTAATTTTCACTTGTTTAAGTAGGTAGTCGTGTTTGATACTAAGAGCAATTCGGGGAAGACGGGAAGTGTTATGTCATTGAATAATTCCAATGAGAATGAGAGTGCTGCTGCTTTCCTTGTAAGGATTTTGAGGTATCTTGAGACACCGCAATATCTAAGAAAAGCTCTCTTCCCCGTGCATAATAGCCTAAAATTTGTGGTGGGTACTTAATTTGTTATAAGTTGTGGTCTCCATGCCCTTAGTGCACTTTTTGTTGTTAATTTTCTCATGTGGTAAGTTTAATGTTTGAGATTTGTTGTGTGTTCAATTACATCTTTACAGGGTATGTTGCCCCCACTTGATGCTCCACATCATCTGCGCAAGCATGAGTGGGCTACCTATCGGGAAGGTAGGCTTTATGACTATGTATTTGCTTAATTTACTCTTAATTTTACTACTTGCAGTAAAACTTCTTGGTAGCAGTTTGAACATTCTCAAATGTTCTTGTCATTTCTTTAAGTTATTGTTGCATGCAAAACAGAAGGTGCTGATAGGGGATTCTCAATTGTGTTGAGTAGATGAAGTTGATTGATAGTGATTGTGAGAGTGCTCCCTTATTGTCTAACATGATTTTTTTTGTTAATTTTATAGGTATCACACTAAAAGAAAAAGCTACAAACTCTTCAGCAACAGTTGTGGATGTAGGTTTAAGTAAGGTATCTTCTTTCTAACAGAACTTGTTTGGCTTAAAGCTAGTGCTCATGATTTAATTTTTGGAGTCAAAGACAAATTTAGACATGGACACATAGACATTCGAAAAAACAAATATAGATATTAATCAGATGGACACCTGCGGTGTTGCTAATGTCCCCTCATCTACTCACTGTATTATGAATCTGTTGGGCAAAATTTGTTTGATCCTTCACTTTCACATTTGCCCATTGACGTGTCAGTAGAAGTTGGGCTTCAATTCTTTAATGGCTTCTGTCTGTCAATTCATTGTTCTTTTATGCAGAATGTTTTGGTTGAGCAAGTACTTGAACCTGGGATAAGAGTAACCATTGCTATGGGAAGAAACAACAACTTGGATTCTGGTAATGAATTGACATTACCTGTTTAAACTTTTGAAACTAAAACAAGTTATCTTTACTCTTCTTTATGGGAATATTGGTCAATGGGTCGTAATTGGTTTGATGTAAGGAGTTGTGTGATAGCTGATTTGCCTGTGAGGTCATTATATTGAAGAACTGTCTGAAATATAATGTACAACTCATGAATTTTTAATTTTTATATTTCATTTTTCTAGATTTACCACGCCAAGTTGTCTCATCATCCAAGCCAAGGGAAGATGCAGGAATGTATTGGGGGTACAAAGTGCGTTACGCTTCAAATATCAGTTCAGTATTCAGGGATTGTCCATACAAGGTGTTTTTGCTTTGATAATATTCCATTCAGCTTCCCTGCCTCCCCTAAATTTCAGAAGAACTAGTTTTCTGACAAATGCTGACAGATGGCTAGCTTCCACATATTGATCACAGGGTGGCTATGATCATTTAATTGGTACTTCAGAGCATGGACTGATTGTTAATTCATCACAGCTCACAATACCCGCTTTCAGGTATGCTTTTGTTCTATGTTAAAATGTGTGTAATTTCCTTTGACTACCTAACTTTGGTCACGACACTCGTTATTTTATGCAAATAATATTTGTTCATTGTGAAGACCTGATTCTCCTATATGCATCTAGAAGATGTTGCTCAGGAAGATCCAAGTCTAACCATGACACTCCTACCATATGGAGTTTATTGAGATTATTAGTGATATAATATCTTCTCAAAAAAAGATAAGGAGTCATGTGTCGATAAAGTTGGTAGAGATAGACTGTTTCAAAATGAATTTAATGCTTCATAGAAGTGTATGACTGAATCGTGATTATAAATACTGTTGATTTCTGACATATTATATACACCTAATCACTCTAACTTGTGCAGTATGTCACACTGAACTGTCCTAATGGTTAAAATGTTTTGTTGTGATTGGTTTCGCAATATACATGCTGCATACCGATAGTGATTGGTGGTAGTGACAAGTACTTCCCTATACCACCCAAAAATCAGAAGTTGTAAACATTTTGAATATATTAGAAACAATGGTATGTTGGAGTTTTTTTATAAGATTTAGATGGGGCAATACCATCAGAAGGCACTTCAACATTTTATTGATAGAGTTTACATCTGACGTCCTTGGTATCATTTGAGGTCCGGACCTTAGTTTTGACGTGGCTTTGTGTTACGTCACTTAACGTTCCACCTCCAGCCGTATTGATCATATTTTTCTAGGCATGCTGGTCACATGAAAATTCGTACACAGAGAGTGACATTATGCTGTTTTATTCAGCCATTTTACTGGCAAACATGATTGTATTAATAATTTGGCAGGCATTTATTGATTGCTTTTGGTGGACTAGCTGGGTTGGAGGAGAGCATTGAAGAAGATAATGATCTAAAGGTATGGTAATGTAACAACCTTAATTTCTTCATTTTTAGGGTTCATCAAATGGTGCAAATGGGTTGGGTGACTCCAGGTTCCATTTTTAATATCTTTTATTTTATATCATATGAAAAAAAGGGTTATTTCTTGTATAACAGTTCTAGGAAATGACGAACTTACTGGATTGCATTTGAAATAGATGACTGACTGATGATGGATATGGTTTTTGGCTTTCCCAGGGAAAAAGTGCTTGTGATGTTTTCAACTTATATTTGAACACGTGCCCTCACCAGGGAAGTCGAACAATTCGGACAGAGGTACTTATGATATGAATAATTTTTCGTTTAACAAAATCCCCATATTGAAAATAAATGTTTCCCATAGTTTATTTCTAACATCCATATAAAACAGGAAGCAATTTTTATATCACTCCAGTATTTCCAAGAACCAATCAATCGAGCACTTCAGAGAGCAGAAAATCAAAGGTAGCTATAACCCTCCTTGCAGAAAACTCTTATTTTACCCTCATATTCATTCTGAGGATATGAAGCTAGTAGTAGCCGCAATACAAGAGACAGGCTAATCAAGTATGCATGAGTGAAGAAATTGCCTACACATTTTTTACCATCCTCATTTTTGTTTTCGTTTGTAATCCATGCTCTAATCCCAGAGGTCTGTCTTGCCTAAGATTGTCAAATCTTTACAGTTAGATCTATGTACCTGCCTATAAAGACTCTAACAAGTTAGGTGGATGTATGTTCTTTTGCCTAAGTTATCATCTTTGGCACCACTATAAAATTGATCTGCCTTGTACCTGCATGTAAAATTGATCAATTCTTAAGTTACTACTGCCCTTGTTTATAGAGGTGTGCCGTAAAAACTCTCTCCATAATTGGACCAGATGAAAGTATGTTCCATTTTTCTTTGAATTTTAAATATGTTAATTTTAGCTTTTATTGCTTAATAAACACCACTGCTCAAAGAAAAGTCACGTGATTTAATCATAAAAGAGTATTCAAAAAAAGATTGTTATAGAACATCGTTTGTCTAGAATGTATATTTATGTGTAAGAATAACTAAACTCAAAAATCAAAATCACTTCTTTTTGGATGTTAGCTATTTGCCGCACCAAGTCCACGTGATAAAAAAGCTTCATTCCTCCACATTCTCCCCGAAAGAAAAGCTTCATTACTGAGTAATTGAGGACTAAAATGAAAGGCTTTATTTAGTTGGAATTCAAGTGTCAGTGTTTTTAGTTTGGGGAGTTAAATGAAATTAACTCTAAGATGGGTGCCTAACAGTGTCATTTTACCATAGATCTCCAAGGAAACTATGACCCAACAAGCAAATAAATAAAGGGCCTCAAAGTTAGGCCCAAACCCAGTTTAACCCATCTGAAAACTAAAACCCTCCTCCGCGCCAACTCTCCGGGCTCTGTTTCCTCCCGTCGGCGTTCCTTGAATTCCTCAATCCTTCCGAACTCTCCCGGTTTCCGAATTGCATAGTCCTCAAAACCAACTGATTGAAATTACTCAATTGGGTCGCACAAACTATCTTCAACTTCGTCCGAATCCCTCTCTCCTCGCTCCATTCGGGTTTTCTTTAAAGAACCCATATTTTCGGCTCAACACGTCCAAATCGCAGGCGAGCTGGAAGTGAGGCCGGCGAAAAATTTCCCGATATTCCGCCCGATATTGTGTCGGGATCCTTGCGTTTTCTATTTATCGGGCGCTGATAAAATAAACCACAAAACAATTCTTCCGAAAAATACCTTTTTTAAATAATAATAATAATAATAATACTATTACCGTTGGAATTTTTCCCGCCATGTTGGCTCGGCTAGAGTACCAACCGCAACGGCGAAGGCCCGCTT